TCCCAGGTGGCACAGTGGTAAACAATCGGCCAACCAGTGCAGGCTTCGATCACTGGGTCGGGATGATCCCCTGGAGACGGAAATGGCAACCCACTCCAGTTATTCTTGCCTGGGAAATCCCATGTACAGAGGGGCCTGGAGCGGACTACAGTCCAAGGAATTGCGAAAAGTCGGAGGCGACTGAGCACGCACGTAAGCTAAAAGGACTAAGGAGGAACGCTGGACGGTGGTTCTTATCCCTCAAAGGAGGGAGAGGCTTTGTTTGTTGGCGAAAAGACATTGTTTCAGACTCCATGAAACTCACCCAGCTCCTATGTATGCGCTCATTCGCTTCAGTCGTGTCCGACTCTTTGCGACCCCGTGGACTGTAACCCGCCAGGCTCCTCTGTCCATGGGATTCTCCAAGCAAGAATACTGGACTGGGTAGCCATGCCCTTCTCCAGGGGATCTTCCTGATCCAGGGATTGGACCCTTGTTTCTTGCATTGGCAGGTGGATTCTTTACCACTAGCGCCACCACTTGGGAAGCACCAATACACAATATGATTTATCCTAGATAATCCAATCACTTAGTCCCTAGTTGGCTCCAGAGGCCAAATATGAGATTTTTGACTAAGAGGCTTAGTCCTGCCTTTTCACTTCAGAGGCAGAATCCCAACTTGTGCATGTTGCTACCAGGGTGCATCAAAGTTATGGACACGGGTTTCTCTGACACAGGACAGGGAAGCCTGGCATGCTGCAGCCCATGGAGTTGCAAAGAGTTGGACATGACTGAGCGACTGAACCAACCACCACCGGATGCATGAGTGGCGGATGGTGGGGTGCTACTGGGTAGGTTGGAGAGCCTGTGGATCCCCATGAACTGCTCTGCCTCCCTCAGTAGCCTCCAGGGACAGATCTGCCAGGAACTCTGGGCAGGGCCTAGCCTTTGGTGATTTTAGAGGGAGAAGTTTTCCACAATGGGCAGACACATGCTAGGTGTCTCCTGCGGTCCCTGTACCATCCCAGCCTCCCTGACTGACATTTTGGGTCTGGCACTCTCTGCTGTGCTCCTCCATTACCACTGCACCTGTACTCCTCCTCGTCTGATACAACCTTAGATCACTGGTGTCCACGCAGACTTGACACATGGCCCTCTTAAGGTATAGAGCAAAGAGTGCACGCCCTAGGCGCCTGCCCTGTACATTCCCACCCCAGTTCTTATGAGACACTGCCCCAACCAGAAGTGAGTAGTGGCCCTGAAGTCCAAGTGTCTGAAAAAGCAGCCAAACATGGTGAGATCCACAGAAGGTAAAAGCAGTTGCAAATAATCAACAGTTACAGAAAGGGAGAGATAAAAAAGAGTCTGGGAGAATTTGGTGTAAGAAGCCCTTGCAAAGTAACCAGTGAGTCAGACAGGGCAACTCAGAATAGCATGACCACTCAGATACCCTGATGCTAAAAAGGTGAGGCCAGTGAGGATTTCCAGGGATGCCCCAGTGTGTTCAGGGGCATGCCTCCCCTCTGGTCGGTAAGTTATGTCTTTGAGGCCTCCGAGCCTCCAGTCAGGTCACGGTGCCCCAAGCTGTTGCCTGCCTGGCCTTGTAAAGTCTCCTCCTGCACATGTGTAGTTTTCTACCAAAAGCTTGGGGGAACTTGGGTAGAATTTTTCAGCTCCACAAGGACCTCCCTGGCCGTCCAGTGGCTTCACACTTCCAGGACAGTTAGGCCCTGCTCTATAGCACAAGGAACTCTGCTCAATGTCATGTGGCAGCCTGGATGGCAGGGGAGTTTGGGGGAGCATGGATACATGTATACCACATGGCTGAGTCCCTTCACTGTTTACATGAAACTATCACAACATTGTTAATCAGCTATACTCTACTACAAAACAGAAAGTTCAACAAAATAAGACTTTATGCTTCCATGCAGGGGGTGCGGGTTCCACCCCTGGTCAGGAAACTAAGATCCCACAGGCCACACAGCACAGCCAAACACAAACACACAAAGAAATTTTGAGCTCCTTCTCTGACCACATTCCAAATTAGTGGTGACTGGGAAACACTATAAAGTAAGACTACATTTATTGTATTATTGAATACCTGGATTTAAGTAATGGAGGTCATGTTTATAATGCAGACTAATTCTAAATATGTGTGGGATATGGTCATGATATTGTGCATAACTCAGAAAATTTGAGGAAAAATGAGGAAATATCCTACCTGTATTAAAAACAATGATTCCATATGGCAAATGTTACTCATTTAAGAAAGAGTAAAATTCCTCATGTCTTTGCTGTTTCCGTGTCTTATCTGTAAATGAATCAGGAAACTGTCATAATGCATATTTAAAAAATAGCAAATAAGAAGTGAAACAGCACAGAAACAGATATACAGGTGGCAAAAACCTGCAAAGTGCTCAAAACCACATATCATTAAAAAATGCAATTAAAATCACACTGAGATAGCACTCTGTATGTGTGCATGCTCAGTCGCTCAGTCATTTCCAACTCTCTGTGACCACTGGACTGCAGCCCACCAATCTCCATTGTCCATGGGATTCTCTAGGCAAGAATACTGGCATGAGTTGCCATTTCCTCCTCCGGGATCCTCCCAACCCAGGGATCAAACTCATGTATCCCAAATTGCAGGTGGATTCTTTACCACTGGGCCACTGGGGAAGCCTTGAGATAGCACTATTCAGTTTTAAAAAGGGCTGCTATAAATCATATCAAGCATTAGCAGGAATGTAGAAGAAGCGGAACTCTAGTTAATATGCCAAAAAAACAATCATTTTAGATCTATCCTATGACTCAGACATCCCAGTTTAAGTTATTGACACAAGATCAAAGAAACACACATCCATGTAAACTAACACAAATGTTTGTAACAGGTTTACTTCCAACAGTCACAACCTAGAAATAACCTAAAGAACCATAAAGAGATGGATAAGTAAGTCAACAGTGGCATATCCAAAGATAAGAATATTACTCAGAAAAGAGATACTCATGTCTCAAAGTAATTATAAAACAAAGAAAACCAGGGAAAAAAAAGAACAGCTTATTCCCATCATATAAATATAAGAAAATGCAAAGGTTATCTATTATAAGGGAAAGTAAATAAATGGTTACCTGGAGAGGTGGGAAAGCAAGAAGAGATTATAAAAAGACATGAGGTAAACACACCATGACAGATCTGGTCATTATCAAGAGTAGGATGCTGTTTTCAGAGGTCTGTACATATGTCAAAATTTGTAAAACTGTATATTTTAGTTATAAGCTGCTGATTACATATAAATTATATCTTTATAAAGCTTTAAAAATTGGCTCAAGAAAAAAAACAAACAAAACCCATGTCCCACTCTTTATGGAACATAGGCTGAGAAACCCTGTGTTGACTCCAGCATCTCTCTCCTTATGCCCTCTGGAAGGTCAGTCTTGTCTCAATAGCAGCAAATACAGGGAGCAATGAACATTTCTATCCATCAGGAAGAGTGCTGCACAGGCCAAGAGCCACATCCTCAGAATATGAGAGCTCTTCCCTTTTTTCCTCCCTGTGTAGTAAGGGCCTGGAGGTGAACATCACTGAGAGGCTACAGTGATCCTCAAAGCCTGACTAATTTCCCTGACAACATCCTCAGCTACACAAGATAGGTGTGCCCACAAGTCCTGAGATTTGCATGATCTGTGATCCTGAAGAGTCACAGAAACATTGCTGGCTACACTTTGTTTTATTTTGGCCACACTTTGAGGTTTATGGGATTTTAGTTCTCCAACCAGGGATTGAACCAGGGCCCTTGGCAGTGAAAGCGTGTAAGTCCTAACCATTGGACCACCAGGGAATTCCCTCTAGCTACATTTTTAGAAGAGGTACATTTCATCTAATTGGCTGCAGTCTCCTACACTATATACTAGAGTTTCCATACTTATTATGGTTCCCCTTATAACTGTTCCATATCTATCACAGTTCTCTTACAACCAGTGACAACCAGTGGATTGTGGCCATCAAGGAACGTGGATCTTTGCAGACCTGGGGAAGACATTCCGTCAACAGTGGTGGAAATACCTGTGATCTTTACTCCAAGTAAGAGAAAAAAATGATGTGGTTCTCAGAACCACTCCCCTTCCTTAGGAGTCATCTGAGACTCATCTGAGAAATATAGCATACAGGCTTCAAATGAAGAGAAAGTCCTGCAGTCTTTCCTAGGAGGCTCTGGGCAGTAACACAAATTTGGTCAAAATCACCAAGTTATTTTCTGCCATGATGCTGCCCCTCCTCAGGTACAGCATGTAAGACCTATAAAAATTTCTCCCCTCCTTCCTGCCTATAGATTAGAAATCTGTACTAGTTTCTAAACTATCCTACACAGGAACAAAACTGTCAAGATTAATGAAGACTTCAAGGGTAGGGCCTTTGTTACTGTTCAAAGCAATGTGTAGCTGAGCTCTGGAGTCCATGACTTGCAAGCTGGACACACACATCACAAGTATCACATGACACCAACATGTCCCTTAAAACTGTCATCTTTGTTGGAGTGCCACCAGCAAACTCAAATGATGTTCTATGGATCAATATTGGGTTAGGTCTATGCCCAACATCACCAAAGAGGAGAGAAAGACCCCCTAGGGCTCAGGTAACTCCTGATTTGGCCAATACATGGGAGGACAGAGTTAAATTTCCCTGAGCACACTACGTGGACCTGCTAGGTGGTAGGTGTGAAATGGCCTTGACCACAGAGATGGCAGTGACATAAATCTGGGAAGAACCCTGGATAGGTTGGAGAGTGCAACATAGTCACACATAACCAGGGATTCTCCCACTATGCATGCGCAGATGGATGAAAGTCAATTCAGACAGATGGCTCCTCAGAAAGTTTCCTCCAGTGCCCTTCAACTGAATGCTGAAACCACATTTCCTGCATATCTATGCCTTTGTGTGAACTCTGATGTTGAAAGGGGTTAGATTTTTCCTATAAAAGATTTCCCACATTCAGTGCACTCTTAAGGCCTTTCTCCAATGTGACCTTTCTGATGACAACGCAGTTTGGATGTGGTAATAAAAGATTTCCCGCATTCACTGCACACGTAAGGCCTTTCTCCAGTGTGAACTCTCTGATGATAATGCAGAGTGGAACTACAAGTAAAAGATTTACCACATTCACTGCACTCATAAGGCCTTTCTCCTGTGTGAATTCTCTGGTGTATTATGAGGTTATTTCTTTGGATAAAGGATTTCCCACATTCACTACACTCATAAGGTCTTTCTCCAGAATGAACTCTTTGATGATAATGGAGGTCAGACCTAGAAATAAAAGACTTCCCACATTCACTGCACTCATAAGGTCTTTCTCCAGTGTGAGCTCGCTGATGATAACGAAGGCTGGAGCTGAAGGTAAAAGATTTCCCACATTCACTGCACATGTAAGGCCTTTCTCCTGTGTGAATTCTCTGGTGTAAGATGAGGTTATTTCTTCGATTAAAGGACTTCCCACATTCACTGCACTCAAAAGGCCTTTCTCCGGTGTGAACTCTCCAGTGTTGAATGAGTGTCCACCTATTGTTAAAAGACTTCCCACATTCAGTGCACTTAAAAGGCTTTTCACCAGTGTGAGCTTTCTGGTGTTGATTCAATTGGGATCCATATTTAAACAATTTCCCACACTCAGTACACTCATAAGGCCTTTCTCCTGTGTGAACTCTCTGATGTTGAATGAGAACCCACCTATTGTTAAAAGATTTCCCACATTCACTACATTCATAAGGCCTTTCTCCAGTGTGAACTCTTTGATGATAATGGAGGTTAGAGCTAGTGGTAAAAGTTTTCCCACATTGACTGCATGCATAAGGCCGTTCTCCTGTGTGAGATCTCTGATGATACCTGAGGGCAGGCCTAGAGACAAAAGATTTCTCACAGTCACTACACTCATAAGGCCTTTCTCCTGTGTGAGATCTCTGATGGTAAGTGAGGGCTGAGCTAGAGGTAAAAGATTTTGAACATTCACCACACACGTAACTATTTTCTCCACTGTGCCATGTGTGGGGAGAAATGAGGACAGATTTGTGGCTTAAGAATTTCCCACATTTGCTGCACTTGTACTGCATTGCCCCAGTATGAATGCTTTGATGTTGACACAGGGTTGAGCTTTGCCTAAAGGATTTTCCAGATTCACCACACACATGGATCCATTCTCCAGCGTGGACTCTCTGGTGCACAACAAATGAGGATTTGTACCTGAATGCTTTCCCACATTCACTGCACACAAAACAAGGTCTTCCAGTGCGGACACCCTGGTCCTGAACAAGTGTACGTGGGGGACTAAGGGCTTTCTTGCATTCTTCCCATGTGTGATGACTTTTCCTGCCATGTAAGGTTGACTGGCGCTGGGTGACTGTGCTTGGCTTCTTCACAGCCTGTTGCTGCAGATGAACCATGATGGTCAGGAAGTCCTTTTCAAAATCCCTGCATGTAAATGACTTCTGTGACACAAGGAACCTGCAGCTCTTCACAAACAAGGCCTTGTCCACACTGCTTTGGAGGGTTTTCTCTCCCATGTGCTGCTGCAGGTGCTGCTGAAAGTTTGTACTAAAATAAAATTGTTTCACACATGCTCCACACCTCAACAGTTTTTGGACGTGCTGTGTTTCATGGTGCTCAGCCAAGTGGAAAACATTTCTCAAGACTGGACCACAGATCTCACATGGGTGCATCTTTTGGGTAGACAAAGCTGCCTTCGTGGTCCTAGCCTGTGACATTTCTAGAGAAGTGATCTGTTCAGAAGGTGCCTCTGCATTCTCTGTTCCACAGCAGCAACCTGAACAGAAAGAAATGCACGTCAAGTACTATTGACTACGGGGAAGGGTCAAGCTCATCACAAATTTGCATCTGCATCAACCACAAAACAGTCAGAAAACAACAAACAGTGGCCACAAGTTCCCTGGAGATCCAGTGGTTAAAACTTCACCTTCTAATACAGGGAGTGTGGGTTCAATCCCTGGCTGGGGAGCTAATATCCCACATGCCTCTGTCAAAAAACCAAAACAGAAAACAGAAACAATACTGTAACAAATTCAACAGACTTTAAAAATGGTCCACATCAAAATCTTAAAACAAAAACAGCAACCAAATTAATAAAAGAACAAGACTGAATCTTATATTGTCAAAAAGAGACTCACATCAGTACTAAGGACACACAGAGCTCAAAATGAAGGCAACATAAAGATACTCCATCAAATGGAAAACTGAAAGTCAGCATAAGTACTGTATAGCTAAAAAAAAAAAAGGAGAAAAAAAAGTACTGTATAGCTTCAGACAAAACAAACATTAAGTGAAAAACTGCCACAAAATACAAAGAAGTTCATGATATAATGATGAAAAAAAGTTAATCAAGGGACTATAACAATGGCTAGCGTATATGCATTGAACATTGTAGCATGAAAATGTCTGCATCAAATATTAACCAATCTGAAAGCGGAAACAACAACCCAATAACAAAGGATTTCATAGAACTTTCCTGGTGGTCTGGTGGTTAAGAATTCACCTTGCCATGCAGGGGACAGGGGTTCGATCCCTAGTAAGGTAATTAAGATCTCACATGCTGCAGAGCAACTGAGCTGGCATGCTACAACTTCTGAGCCCGTGAGTTCCAGAGCAGCTCACCACAACAGAGGGCCTGCGTGCTGTAAATACTGAAGCCCATGAGCCACAACTAGGGAGTCCATGTGCCTCAACAAAAGATTCCAAATGATGAAACAAAGAAGATCCTGTGTATTGCAACTAAGATCTGACACAGCCAAATAAATAAATACAATTTGGGAAAAAAAAAAAAGAGCTAGAGACTTCAATATTCTCCCTTCAACAATAGGTTGATCATCCAGACAGAAATTCAGTAAGAAAACTTTGGACTTGAACATATACTTTAGATCAAATGGACATATACACAAAACATAACGTCCAACTTCAGCAGAATACACATTCTCCTCAACTGCATACAGAACACTGCCCAGAGCAGATCATATGTTATAGATTATAAAACCAGGTCTAACAAATTTAAGGAGATTGAAATAATATAAACTATCTTTGCTGACCACAATGGATTGAAGGAAGAAATCAGTAACAAGTAGGAAACTGGGAAAATTCACAAACATGTGGAAATTAAACAACAGAATCATGGAAAAATAAACGATCTCAAAAGAAATAAAAAAATACCTTAGTAGTTCAAAGAGGGAAACTTAGAGCAATAACTGCTTACTGTATGCATATATAGGAAAATAAAAATCTTGGCTTTACAGGTGACTTCTACCAAAAATTCAAAAAAGATTAAATACCTACCTACCCTTTTCAAACTCTTCCAAAATATTGGAGAAAGGAATGCTTCCTAGCTCATTTTACAATGGCAACATCACCAGACACCAAAACCAGATGAAGACAACATAGAGAAAATTATAGGACAGCATCTCTGATAAACACAGATGCAAAAATTCTCAACAAAATACTAGTAAACCAAATACAACACCACATTAAAAGAATCATACATCATGATTAGTCCAGAGATGTAAGAATAGTTCAACATCTACAAATCAATCAATGTGATATACCACATAAACAAAATGAAGGATTAAAACCATTTAATCATTTCAATAGATACAGAAAATGCCTTTGACAAGATTAAACATCCATTTATGATAAAAACTCTGAATTAAGTGGGTAAAGAAGGAACATACCTCAACATAATAAAAGTCATAGATGGCAAATCCTTCAGCTGACATCAAGCTCAATGGTGAAATGTCAAAACCTATCTCTCTAAAATCAGGAACAAGAAAAGGATGTCCACTATCTCCACCCTTATTTGATGTAACATCGAAAGTCCTAGCAAAGAACAGTCAGGCAAGGGGGAAAAAAGGCATCCAAAATGGAAAGGCAAAAGTAAAACTTTCACTATTTGCAGATATCATGGTTTTACACATAGAAAACTTGACGGACTCCACCAATAATCTATTAGAAATAACCAACAAAGTTGCAGGGTACAAAATCAACATACAAAAAACAGTTCAACTTCTAAACCTGAATAGTGAGCGAGTAAAAAAATTAAAACAATCCCATTTACAATTTCAACAACAAAAAATACCTAGGAATATTTAACCAAGAAGGATGAAGACCTATACATGAAAAACTCTAAGACATTGTTGAAAGACTGAAAAAGATACAAACAGAAAGATATTACATGCTCACTGACTGGATGAATTAACATTATTAAAATGTCCATACTGCCTAAAGCAACCTACAGATTGAATGCAATCTCAATAGAAATCCCAAGGACATTTTTCACAGAAATAGAACAAAAAATCTGACAATTTATATATAAAACCACAAAACCTAGCAGATAGCCAAAGGATTATTATAAAATAAACAAAACAGAACAAAAAAAAGCTAGGGGAATTCCCTAGAGATCTGATGGTTAGGACTCAGTGCTTTCACTGCAATGACCCAGGTTCAATCCCTGGTCAAGCAACTAAGTTGACCTGCTTGCTGCAACTAGAGAAAGCCCAAATGCAGCAATGAAGTCTCAGCACAGCCAAAAATGAATGAATCTTTAAAAAAATAAAAAAGGCCCCCCCGGCCCCCCAGGGTGGTCCAGCAGTACAGAATCCAACTGCCAATGCAAGGGATACAAGTTTGATCCCTGGTGCAGAAAGATTCCATATGCTGCAGGGCAACTGAGCCCATGTGCCACAACTAGTGAAGCCCACTTGCCCTAGAGCCTGTGCTCCACAACAGAAGAAGTCACTGCAATAAGAAGCCCATGCATCTTTGAATCAGTTCTAATGAGGTGGATGAAACTGGAGCCTATTATACAGAGTGAAGTCAGTCAGAAAGAAAAACACCAAATACAGTATATTAATGCATATATATGGAATTGAGAGAGATGGTAACGATGACCCTATATGCGAGACAGCAAAAGAGACACAGATGTAAAGAACAGACTCTTGGACTCTGTGGGAGAAGGCGAGGGTGGGATGATTTGAGAGAACAGCACTGAAACATGTATATTACCATATGTGAAATAGATCACCAGTCCAGGTTTGATACATGAGACAGGGTGCTCAGGGCTGGTGCACTGGGATGACCCAGAGGGATGGGATGGGGAGGGAGATGGGAGGGGGGTTCAGGATGGGGACACAGGTAGACCCATAGCTGCTTCATATCAATGTATGGCAAAACCCACTACAATATTGTAAAGTAATTAGCCTCCAATTAAAATAAATAAATAAAATTAAAAAAAAAAGAAGCCCATGCATCACAACTAGAGTAGCCCCCACTGACCTCAACTAGAGAAACCTCACACACAGCAACAAAACCCAGTGCAGCCAAAAATAATTTTTTTTTTAATATGAGGGGTAACATGCTAGCAAGGATACACAAAAAAGGGAACCACTGCACATGGTTGCAAAGAATGTAAATTAACATAGTAATGGAAAATACCACAAATATTCATCAAAATATTGAAAGTAGAACTACCATATGATCAAACACACCCACTTCTGGGTATACATCCCAAGGAACAAAACCAGTATCTTCATGAAACAGGTTCACGTGCATATTCATTGCAGCATTATTCAAAAGAGCCAAGATACAGAAACATTTTAAAGTGTTCATTACTGGATGAAGTGATAAAGAAAATACAGTATACACACAAACATGCACCAACTTTCCCACGATTATGTGTGCAGGAATATTTGGACAAGAAAAAGGAAAAACTGCCACTTGCAAAAATCAGGAGCCTAGAGGACATTATGCTAAATGAAATAAGCCACAGAGCGATGAACAAATACTGTATTAAATATAGAATCTTTAAAAAAGTCAAACTTAGGCATAAAGTAGAATGCCAAATATTGAGAGCTAGAAAAACAGGGAGATGGTCAAAAACACTTCCAGTTATGAGTAAGTTCTAAGAACCGAAAGTGCATAATAGTGACTATAGTCATTAATATTGTATACTGGAAATTTGCTAACAAATCCTAAGTATTCTTACACACACGAAAGAAAAAAAGTTATGTCTGGTGATAGGTGTGTTAATAAATTTCATGGTGATAATTGTTTCATTATATATATATATATCAAATCATCACATTATATATATTAAGTACATATAATTTTATTAGTTATACCTCAATAAAGTTGGGACGACAGGATGAAACGGAAATAAGAGGTCTAAACATCATAAAAAGAACTATATAGGAGAGATCAACAGTAGCCAATGCTCATGTAAGTAGTCCCCATGACAATGGCTGCAATTCCATAAACAAGCAGAAACAGAATTGTCAGCTAAAGGAGGGGCCACAGAAACTGCATGGATCTGGACACACTGGCCCATTAAGGGAAAGGGCGAGCACGCTGCACCCAAAGGCCTTACTGCAAGACTATGAACCACAAATCCTTCCCTGTGACAGTGCAGTATAGCAGGTATTACGGCTGCAGAGGAGAAAAAAGGGCAGCGCAAACACCCCAGCCCTAATTACCACAACTACCCAGAACACTGGGGAAGCAAGCAGTGCCTACATGTGAGGACAGAGCACCTTCTGGGGCGTGAGGCAGGATACAGAGGCCAGCCCAGGTCAGTAGGGAGGCTTAAGGTCTTACCCAGTGAGGATATAAGTGCATAGTTCTCCAGCATCACATCCAGATACAGGCGTCTCTGAGCCTCATCAAGGAGCCTCCATTCCTCCCAGGAGAAGTACACAGCAACATCTGGAAAGGTCACACTACCCTGTGGTGAAGGGGACAAATGAAACCTTGAACATTCTCTCTCTAAGAATCCACAACACATCTCTCCAAACACCTATGCCATTCCCATCCTCCACTGGTGCCACTGATGCCTTCTCTCTCTTCACCACCCGCTTTACTCACTGTGTTCAGCCCTCAGCAGTAACTGGGCGGGGTGCAGGGAGTGGTACTACAAGGCTTCTCCAGAATTTTGTGCACACAGATGCCATCTAAACTCTGGGCTTGGCATGCAATGTCCTGTCCCTCCAGTCAAGCAATTCCCCTAGAGTCTCCCAAATTGTGGGAATCCAGACACAGCCAAAGATAAGCTCATGCTTCACCTGTAAATACTCAACATCAGGAACCTGAGGCCATCAGTTCACACTTCCTTTCAATGGGCACATCATTCTGTAGGTGGCACTTCTCTCACAATTTCAGACTCTACAGTTGCACTTCCATAGCACTGACATCTCCCTGCACCACACCACAGAATTCTTCCTGAACATACATGCACACCTGGTGCTTGGCATCCAGAGATTGCTTTAGAAATTAAAAGAAGATTCACTACAACCCCAGTCCTCTGATGGATCTGACACCAGACTAAGCAACATTCTGCTTAGAAGATCTTGCCACCTGCTGCCACTCCTTCCTTCAATATTCACCACCCTAAAACCACACATGATTTTCACATTCCCATAACTCTCTTCAACTTCTTTACTGCCAGCTTTGCCCCTTCAACAGCCACAACACTCCTCTCTCCACTCAACCTTTGTAAAAAAAATCCAGCCCTAAAAATCTCCCCTCCAGTCATAGCGACTCACAAATGACATCTGCCCCAGACCTTATCCACTAGCAAGACTAAAACATCCCAGACCCTGTCAAAGTTCACTGCAACATTCTGGAGAAGTCATATAGTACTAAATGAGAAGCAGCCCCAGCCTTACTGCCTTCTTGTCTCAATTACTCCTGGGTTTCCTCAGCCATATCTCAGACTCCATTCACCCCACTGAAGCCTTGGCCGCCTGCCAAGTTGACCTCTCTTACATGGGTCCCACTGCTACTTCTCTACTTCACTTGGGTTTGCAATGCCGTACAAACCCTGAGCAAAAGAACTACTCCTTAGCACACACCCTAGTCTTTCTGACCTACTAATAATCATGGCCACTACAACCTGCATTCCCCTCCTAAATGTGATCCACAGCTCCACCTGTGTCCACACAACGGTCATCTTTTGAAAATTTCCATTCCTGAACACGTTCCCCAGTTTTCCAGACCTGCCTAGTCAAATGCCCATGTTGCCTACACTCAGTCTTCTCTGAAACATTTCAGACTCTTCAGAGAGCCAAAACAAACTCATAATATTTCCAAGGAAAATTAACCTGATGCTAAGGTCCCCATCCAGTTGATGGGTCTTCCATCCTTTTGTCTACTAGGGCCAAAATCCCAAGGGTCATCACTTACAATTGCTTTTCTCATCACCAACAACACCCACAATTTTATATGTCCCTTTGTAACAGAGCAGGATGAGAACAGCCGTTAGCAGGCAGCCATGGCTGTGCCTCATTACTCCGCACCCTGTAACTAGGCAACAAGTCTTGCTCAGCCATTGGTCAGTGCCTCAGAGGACCCTCCCCACAAGCAACCAACTGTCAATGAGTGACCATTAGGGAAGTGATTCAGTCAAGGGTCAGTGGTGTGGTGATCATCAGGTGGAGAGTGAGCTAAGAGGCAGATTCAGGCCTTCTCCTGGAGTCCCTCCAGCGCAACCAGGCTTAGGCCAGCGGGTCACCTGAAGAGTCCAGGAAACAGGCTGGGGATTATGTCCTGCAGGGCTTCAGTGCCCTCATAAGGCCCTCTACTAGCCATGGCCCAGGTCTTGAGGCAGTAGTGAACCTCTCTCCCATCCCTGTCTCTGCGATGTAACAGCAGTGGCTGTCTACATGGTTTGCAGTCTGTGAGAACTGGTTTCCCACTTTTGGGCAGCCTGAGGAGTCTGAGTTGGATTATAAAGAAAGCTGAGTGCTGAAGAATTGATGCTTTTGAACTGTGGTGTTGGGAGAAGACTTGAAAGTCCCTTAGATAGCAAGAAGATCAAACCAGTCAATCCTAAAGGAATTCAGTCCTGAATATTCGTTGGAAGGACTGATGCTGAAGCTGAAACTCCAATACTTTGGCCACCTGATGCGAAAGACTGACTCATTGGAAAAGACCCTGATGCTGGAAAGACTGAAGGCAGGAGGAAAAGGGGACAACAGAGGAGGAGATGCCTGGATGGCATCATGACTCAATGGACATGAATTTGAGTAAGCTCTGGGAGTTGGTGATGAACAGAGAAGCCCGGCGTGCTGCAATCCATGGGGTCGCAAAGAATCAGACACGACTGAGCAACTGAACTGAACTGAGGAAACTGAGGGCCAGTTGGGTTGGGTGCCTGGCTCCCTCAGGGATGACAGCTGGGCAAGTCTGGGGACCTGGCCTTGAAGGAGCTGCCAACTGCAATCTGCCTCCTCTTAGCTAGGACTGGGACATTGGGGGGTGAAAGTTGTGCCTTGGGACTTTGCTCTTCCTTGTCAGGACAAAGAATAACATTCATCTGGTAGAGACTTACAGGAACATCCTTACCTGACCATGAGCTGATCCCAAGACCAAAGGATCTGACATGGGAAATCTACAACAACTAACTACGCCCATACCTCACCTTTTGCTTTTAAAGGGCCTTGCTGAAAGCTTTCAGTAATTTTGGGGCTCATAGGGCATGAGCCACCCATCTCCTTGTACAAATCTGTAATAAACCGCTGTTCCAAACTCTGTTTTAGTATGGATGGGCCTGACTGTGTGGGGCACAAGGACTTGCGATTTCGATAACACCTTCTCAAAAAATCGATCCAGAATTCAATCACTTTTCACACATCCAAGGTAGTCTCTCTGGTCCATCAATACACACCTAGGCTATTACAACTAATACCTCTGTGCTTCCTGTCTCCTTCCTCCCTCTCCTACTTTGTTTTCTTCTCTGCAGTCAGAGGGAGCCTATTTTGGTCTGCATGCGATCACTTCCCGCTTGCGATTCAAACCCTCTATTACCTATGAAATAAATGGTCCTTTCTTTTTTCTGGCCGCACGGTGGGACTTTGTGAGATCTTAGTTCCCCAAGCAGGGATTGAACTAGGGCCCCGCGGCCATGAGAGGCGGAATCCTAACCACTGGGCTGCCAGGAAGTTTCCATAAATGGCCAACCTTTCTCGCAGCAACACTGCAACCTTGACTGGCCCAGCTGCAACTTGCTCCTAGCAGAAATTGCTAGGACGGTGGAGAATTGCTATACCTAAGTCCCTGATCAGTACCACCTCCGAATCTCTGCGCCTGCAGGTCCCTCCGCCCGTCACCCTCTCCCACGCGCATTCACAGACACAGAGCCCCCACCCAAGTCGGCCTCACCGGCCTGGATCCCGAGAACTGGGCTGCGGGCACGTGAACAGGCGCCGCCGACTCCCCCCGACGCTCGGGGCTTTAGTGTCTGGTGGGATGAGGGCGGTGAGGGCCCAAGGGGACCAGCGTTTACCTGAGGCGGGTTCCTTAGAGCCGCCGCCATCGGACTCTGTGGGCGGAGCGGGACAGGGAGCGGCTGCAGTACCCCGCCCGGCGGGGCCTCTCCCAGTCTTGGCGCGGCACACCCTGGGCGGCGTCACTGGGCCTCACACCCGCCTCTCTGCAGCTTGTATCTTCTCAGTCTCATCCCCTCTTCCCAGCACGAGTAACCGAAGCGCTTGAATTATGAAAAACTCGAGCACATTCAAAATAACGCTCATAGCGTCGCCACCGGAAGTCCCGCCCAGAAACTATTGCTTCACAAGAAAATGCGGCTTCTTTTCGTCTTAATTGGCTGATCGTCGCAGCCGCCCATCGCACAGCCACCTGGGTAATGTATTTCCCACAGATCCACGAGCCAAGGTCGTTTGAGTGATCCCTGACTTGCAGGAGAAAAGGCGAAGCTACACTGTGAGGTTTGCTAAAATAACAACCTAAATCCAGAGACTGAGGTGGGGCGTTGCTTCTTAAAGAGAATGCATTCAGATGTTTGAGGATTACTATCTGTAACTGATCACCCAAGTGTTTGGAGACAGTTTTTCAAATTCTTCGAAGCTCAGCGTGTTCCTAGAGGCTAAGAGTACCTTTCCAGATGCTCTCAAATCCATCAATCCAAATGCATCCCCGAACTTCCCAGGCGGTTCAGTGATTAATATTCCTCCCTTCCACGGCAGGAGGCGTGGTGCGATCCCTGATGAGGGAACTAAGGTCCCACAAATCTCACAGCACGTCCAACCAAACAAAAATCCCAAATGACCTAAGCCGAGTCACTTAGACACAGAATGGAGACACTGGAAACTGAAGCTAATAAACAATAGTGCACTGTACATCTGTACACGAAAGTGTAGATAAGGAAAAGGATGCTGCGCCACGTTGAGGAAGGAATACAAAGATAGGTCTCTGACAAAGATTCCCAAGACAACAGAAATCCTGCCTTTACAGTTGCTGGGAGAAATATCAATAACATCAGATATGCAGATGACACCACCCTTATGGCAGAAAGTGAAGAACTAAAGAGACTCTTGATGAAAGAGGAGAGTGGAAAAAGTTGGCTTAAAGCTCAAAAACTAAGATCATGGCATTGGTCCCATCACTTCATGGTAAGTAGATGGGGAAACAGTGGAAACAGGCAGACTATTTTGGAAGGCTCCAAAATCACTGCAGATGATGACTGCAGCCATGAAATTAAAAGACGCTTACTCCTTGGAAGAAAAGTTATGACCAACCTAGACAGCATACTAAAAAGCAGAGACATTACTTTGCCAACAATGGTCCATCTAGTCAAGGCTATGGTTTTTCCAGTAGTCATGTATGGGTGTGAGAGTTGGGACTATAAAGAAAGCTGAGCACTGAAGAATGGATGCTTTTGAACTGTGGTGTTGGAAAAGACTCTTGAGAGTCCCTTGGACTGCAAGGAGATGCAACCAGTCCATCCTAAAGAAGATCAGTCCTGAATATTCATTGGAAGGACTGATGCTGAAGCTCCAGTACTTTGGCCACTTGATGTGAACAGCTGACTCGTTTGAAAAGACCCTGATGCTGGGGAAGATTGAAGGCGGGAGGACAAGGAGATGACAGAGGATGAGATGGTTGGATGGCATCACTGACTCAATGGACATGAGTTTGGGTAAACACCAGGAGTTGGTGATGGACAGGGAGGCCTGGCATGCTGCTGTCCATGGGTTGCAGAGTCAGACACAACTGAGCGACTGAACTGAACCAAACTGACTCTGTCCAATTCATTGAGCAATACTTTCATCTATTATCTTACTTCATATCCTCACATATATTCCTTTCTGAATCTGATGTCAATCTCAAAAAGAGAACAAAAATATGCCATTTTGACACGCGACAATGGCTGCAGTGTTTTGCAATGTTTCGGCACTATTTGCTATTTCATGGTTGGTCTTGTTTCATCTACCCCACCCACCTTACTATATTATTTCACCTGTAAAGGGGACGACAGAGGATGAGATGCTTGGATGGCATCACTGACTCAATGGACATGAGTTTGGATAAACTCCAGGAGTTGGTGATGGACAGGGAGGCCTGGCATGCTGCGGTTCATGGGTTGCAAAGAGTCGGACACGGCTGAGCAACTGAAGTGAACTGAATCCCAGATAGCATGTATTTTAATGTATAAACTCTTCAGACTGTTTTTAAAATGTAAGAGTTCTTGGGACTTACCTGGTGGAGCAGTGGTTAAGAATCCACCTACCAATGCAGGAGACACAGGTTCGATCCCTGGTCTGGGAAGATTCCACGTGCCTCAGTGAAACAACCTGTGCGCCACAACTACTGAGCTCACATGCTGCAACTACTGCATAATGTCTTTGTACCTCAAGATCTAAGTTAAGTCAGAAAGTCATGTCCAACTCTTTTGATACTTCATGGAATGTAGGTTCCTCTGTCCCTGGGCTTTCCCAGGCAAGAACAGTGGAATGGGTTGCTATTTCCTTCTCCAAGGGGTCTTCTCAACCCAAGTCTCTTGCATCACGTTAGGATCCTTTACCACTAAGCCACCGGGGAAGCTCAAGATGTAAGGTTCTATTGTTGTTGCTGTTTAGTCACTAAGCCAAGCTCCTCTGTCCATGGGATTTTTTTCTGGCAAGAAAACAAGAATAATGACAGATGCCATTCATCATAAGCACAAACTAGGTGTAAAACATCCGATCAACTATGGTTCATTTATTTCCTCTGGGAGGAAAGCATTGTCCTTACACCCCTTACATAGCCCAGGACAAGCAGAAACAGCCATACCACCACTCCAGTGAATTTTACCTAAAGTCTCTGGGAAAATTCTCTGAAGCTATTTTTTAAATGTTTGCAATGATTATTTTTTGGTGATTTACTATGTGTAGAGTGTTGGGAAGAATATTCCAGAGAGAGAAAAGTACATATGAAGGACAAGTATGTGAAGAGGCGTGAGCACTCAGGAAGCTGAGATAAAGGATGGAAAGAGAATGAAGGGCACTTCTCATTAAGATGCTGAACTGAGCAGATACAATTATTTGTGGAAATATTAACAAGTTAGCTGACCCATAAACCCAGTGTAGTATATTCATAAGTTTCAAATCTTTAGATACTAAATTTTAGTCTTCTATAAACTACAATAATGTGATAATATTTTTTCCATGGTAGAAAATGTAGTTTCTGTTTTAAAATTAAAATTATGAAGTGTTGTTTGTTCAAAAAGTCATCCTGGTAGGGCTACTGTAGAAACTTTCAAAAATATATTTATAAATATCTATATACACAAATCAAATGCTTAAAGACACTTCAAATTATGTAAAAGCTCTGAGAGTCTCCTGTTTCTTCTCACCTGATAACCTATAAGGGAAAACCATTATTAAAAATTATACCTTTTAAACTTTTGAGAAAACAACTTTGAGCAAGATTATGTTTAGCAATGTAACGTGCTGACTCCATCCAAACCATTATAAGCCTAATATTTATCTTTCCTTTACTAGCTTAGTATAATTTCTTACATTTTCTAGTGTCCTTTTTAAAAACTTTTTTAAAAGGGGGGTTTGTATTATTTTTAACCTTTAAAGTCTACAAGATTTATTAATATTCAAAGCCTTTTCAGGAAAGGTCTAAGATTTTTCAACCAATGTTGTTTTTCTTGTCTCAGTCAAGAAAAACTGAGTCCAGTTGCCTGGACTATGTGCACACAGAAGAGAAATGAATGTTCTAATAAACTTTTCCAACCTGGGATTTAGTAAGTCTTTGACAATGTCAGAGATTTGAATACAACCATGCTGAATGTACATGGAGGGTTTCCTCCATGTGGAAATTGCAAATTCAGGGGACACTGAGTGGCATTTCCCTGGTGGTCCAGTGATTAAGACTTGCTTCCACTGCAGGGGGCACAGGTTTGACCCCTGGTCAAGGAACTAAGATCTAGCAAGCCACATGGCTCAGCACACACACACAAAAAGGACACTGAGCTACTCCAACCAGCTTATCAGAGAAGAGGAAAAGAAAAGAAAGGTGGGACGTAAGTAACACAAAGGGGGCAGGATTTAGGTGGTTTCACCAGTGAGAAAGCTTTAACTTATTCATAAATTATCTATAGCCAAGTCCCCCTAAGTGGATCCTACAGTATTGTTTACTCACAAGCAAAAGAAAATTCTGATTAACCAATGGACCACTTTCCATGCATGGTGTGATGAGGCTTCCAAATGCAATTTTGACTAACAATGCCTCCTTGAAAGATGTTAGTTAAGGCATCATCTTAGATCCATTTGTTGCTAAAATGTCAATAACCTAAAATGGAAAATGAAATACAACAAACTAAATGCTATATAAAATGAATACTTGTATAATCACATAGACAAAAACTATTTCAAATCAACTCATAACATAGAATTTTGACTACACTTACTTAGACTTGTGGAAATAAAGATGGCCAACCAAATAAGAACACTCAAAGCCTATTTATTCAGAGCTACAAATCATGGCTTAAAAATGTTGAGTATCTAGATTTAAGAACTAATCAAGAAACAAGGTCATGGAACTATATTGAATACTCTGTGATAAACCATAGTGGAAAAGAATATTAAAAAAAAAAGAATGTATATATGCATATAACTGAGTCACTGTGTGTGTACAGCATAGACTGGCACATACTATAATAAAAAAATTTTTTTAAGTGAGCAAGAATATTAATGACTAAACTTTAAAAGTATATGCTGTATGTGGCTACTGCATTGTGTACAGTACACAAACTGTTTATGAAATACTCCCACATTAAAGAACAATTATTTTCATAGCAGAGAGGTCACATCACTGAAAAATGAATAAAATTCCAACATAAGTTTTTGCTGTTTCACTATCTTTTTTGTTAGGAAAAAAACAGAAACTTCCCCAAAGAATTTTTTAATAATTTTTTTTTGGTTGCAGCTTGTACCAGAGACTGAACCCAAGCCCTCAACAGTGAAAGTGCCAAGCCCTAACTACTGAATTGCTAGGAAATCCCCCCCAAATTCAATAGGAATGCAGGGTGGGGGGCTACAGTGGGGACAGCACATCCTCACTATCCTCATTTTCCTGCACAGCAACACATCTGAAGTGAAATCACATAGATACTACAAAACCACTGATAATTTTTTCATCTCACAACACCCTCCCTATACAAGATGCATAGTTCTCGATGCCATGACAATTTCTGCACTGGCTCATCCTTCACAGCTAGTAACTGGAATACTGCAGAGGCCCCTTCAGTATAGGCACATTTCCACAAACTTGTGGCAGCCTTTTCCCCTTCCTACAGATCCAGTGTTCCTTTAACAGGTGATTCCCCCTGCCTGTACGACTGTATAATCTATGCTGCCACTACCTGGAATTCTAGACATGAGGATACATGGCTCCACTACAGGACCTAGGGAACAGACTTCTCTTACTGACTGGACATAATCCATGACCCCGTGAACAAGAAAATTTCCTTGATTTAGGAAGCAGCAAAGGTATCACAACTGCCCATCTAAAGACTGACATCTGAATCAACAAAATACCAATGCATCCAGGCTGCAAAAAAGAACCACAAATCCCTGCAGTCTTTTCTTGGAGGCCCTGGGCAGCAATGGCAACTAGGACAAAACTAGAAAGAGGTACACTCACAGCATACTGTTCTCTCTGAGGCACAGTGTGCAATTCCACAAAAAAGCTTTTCAACCCTTATTGCTGCTAGAACCCAGTTGTTTTCAAGTCACCACAGTGAATAAAATCCCAAGATTGAAGGGACTTAGAGTAAGGTCTTGCTTTTTCCTCCTCTGCTGCTAAGGTGCTCGGTTCTTCTGAGGAACCTGCATTTGGGGGTGAGGCCCTCACTTCATCCGGTGACTAGCACCGTGCCTGGCAGCCCCCACCTAGCACTCGTCCTCACCATGGCCTCCATCTCAGAGCTCACCTGCATCTACTCTACCGTCATTCTGCATGGTCATGGAGGATAAAATCAATGCCCTCATTAAAGAAGCCAGTGTAAATGTGGAGCCTTTCTGGCCAGGCTTGTTTGTAAAGGCTTTGGCCAATGTCAACATCAGAAGCCTCATCTTCAATGTGGGGGCTGGTGGACCTGCCCCAGCAGCTGGTGCTGCACCAGCAGGAGGTCTTGCCCCATCCACCACTGCTGCCCCAGCTGAGGAGAAGAAAGTAAAAGCAAAGAAAGAAGAATCTGGTGATGACATGGGCTTTGGCCTTTTGGACTAAATCTCTTTAGTAACATATTCAATAAAAAGCTGAGCTGTTAAAAAAAAAAGAGTAAGGTCTTCATTTTTCACACAAACCAGTACAATGGGACACAGACTATTCCTGGGCTTGAGGCATGAAGGGGAGGAAAATCTCATCACAGGAGTCACAATAGACACTGAGAAAAGTAGGCCCAGTTTGCAAGTCACCAGCAGAGTAGCCTAGGACAAAAATAGGTCAACTCAGAGATGTAACCCATCAAAAGAATTAGAAAGGAATGAGTGCTCAGAGTTATTACAAAGGCTCCCATAAATGGGACGACATCAAAGTGTTCTTCCCTGGACTCAGGGTGGTTCAAAACTGTACATCATGAACACCTGGCCATACAACAGTGGTGAAATGGCTTTTGCTATGGAACTGGCAATGACATAAATCTGGTAAGGGTTCTGGGCAGGTTAAGAAATGCACTGAAGCTCCCATAAACCTGGAATATAAGTGGTTTATTGCATGTATGAGGTCAACACCCTCATAAGGGATCTCCCCAGTGTTATACTGACCAATAATTCATCCCTGTACAACTCTTGTTTCTGAACTTTGTGGTATTCAATGAAATAAGAGTGAAGTCTGTGAACTCTCCAATATGTAATGAGGCTAGAGTTTCAGATAAAAAAAAAATTTCCCACATTAGTCACATCTGCAAGGCTATTATCCAGTGTGAACATTATGGTGTTCTATGAGACTAGAGTTGTAGGTAAAGGAATTCAGACATTTCCTACAATATAATGCCTTTCTGCAGTATGAACACTCAAGTGTTTAATGAATCTGAAGCTTTTTGCAAAGTACTTCCAACACTCATGGCACTCACACATGGCTTTGATCCAGTGTGAGTTCTCTAATGTTGAAAAACAGCTTGGGCTAACCAGCTTCTCAAATTTTCTTTACTTGTAAGATTTTTCTCCAGTGAACTCTGTGATGTCAAAGGAGTGAAGAACTTTGGGAAAATGCTTTCCCACATTTGCTGCATTCATAAGGCCTTTCTCCAGTGTGAATTCTCCTGTGTTTAATGAAGGTGGAATTATCGGCAAAGGATTTCCCACAGACAGTGCACTTATAAGGCCTTGAACCAGTGTGAAGTCGCTGATGCTGATGAAGAACAGAACACTGATTAAGTTTTCCCACATTCACTGCACTCATAAGGCCTTTCTCCAGTGTGGATTCTCTGATGTTGAAGGAGCGTAGAGTTTTGGCTAAATGATTTCCTACATTCACTGCATTTATATGGCCTTTCCCCAGTGTGAACTCTGTGGTGTATAATAAGGTGGGACCTCTTGCTAAAGAATTTCTTACATTCCCCACACTCATATGGCCTTTCTCTAGTGTGAACTCTATGGTGTTCAGTGAGATGGGACTTGTTGCTAAATAATTTCTCACATTTAAAAGGTCTTTCTCTAGTGTGAATTCTCCAATGTTGAATAAGGTTGGGCTTTTGCCTAAATGATTTTCCACACTCTCCACATTCATAAGGCCTTTCTCCAGCATGAACTCTCCAATGTCGAAGGAGTGAGGAACTTTGGGAAAACGCTTTCCCACATTTACTGCACTCATAAGGCCTTTCTCCAGTGTGAATTCTCCTGTGTTTAATGAAGGTGGAATTATCGGCAAAGGATTTCCCACAATCAGTGCACTTATAAGGCCTTGAACCAGTGTGAAGTCTCTGATGCTGATGAAGAGCAGAACGTTGATTAAAAGTTTTCCCACATTCACTGCACTCATAAGGTCTTTCTCCAGTGTGGATTCTCTGATGTTGAAGGAGCGTAGAGTTCTGGCTAAATGATTTCCCACATTCATTGCATTTATATGGCCTTTCCCCAGTGTGAACTCTCTGGTGTATAATAAGGTGGGACCTCTTGCTAAAGAATTTCTTACATTCCCCACACTCATATGGCCTTTCTCTAGTGTGAACTCTTTGGTGTTCAGTGAGATGGGACTTGTTGCTAAATAATTTCTCACATTTAAAAGGTCTTTCTCTAGTGTGAATTTTCCAATGTTGAATAAGGTTGGGCTTTTGCCTAAATGATTTTCCACACTCTCCACATTCATAAGGCCTTTCCCCAGTGTGAACCCTCTGATGTCGAAGGAGTGAAGAACTTTGGGAAAATGCTTTCCCACATTTGCTGCACTCATAAGGCCTTTCTCCAGTGTGAATTCTCCTGTGTTTAATGAAGGTGGAATTATCGGCAAAGGATTTCCCACAGACAGTGCACTTATAAGGCCTTGAACCAGTGTGAAGTCTCTGATGCTGATGAAGAGCAGAACGTTGATTAAAAGTTTTCCCACATTCACTGCACTCATAAGGTCTTTCTCCAGTGTGGATTCTCTGATGTTGAAGGAGCGTAGAGTTTCGGCTAAATGACTTCCCACATTCACTGCATTTATATGGCCTTTCCCTGGTGTGAACTCTCTGGTATACAATGAGGTGTGACTTCTTGCTAACTTCTCCCCAGTTAGGATAAGTTTTTCCCCTCTGAAAGGCTGTCTCACACTCAGTTCTGCTTGACCTCTCCCAGGTGTTAGTAGCCCATTGCTGGATAAATTGAGACCTGGTCAAGAAGTCCTTCTCAACCACCCTGAAAACTAATGACTTTCCTGACACATGGAATTTGCAGTTCATCACAAATGAAGTTCTATCCACATCTCTTCTGAAGAGTTTCTCCCCGATGCACTGCTTCTGAGGCTGATGAAGATTTGTGGTGACATACAACTGTTTCCCAGACCTATGTAATTTCTGCTTTGAATGTATTCCTTGACATTCATCCAAGTACAGAAAGTCTGTCAATATTTGGACACATAGTTCACAGGGGTGGGCCTTTTTGGAGGACAGATCTGCCTTGGGAGTCCTGATCTGTGACATTCTTTGAAAATAAACATTTTGCTCAAAAGAAGTCTTCTCGTTCTCCACTTCATGGCAACAACCTAAAAGCAAGAAATGTTGGTGAAGCACATGTTGACTTTCGTGGGGCAGGGGGAAGCCCACACATCAGTGTGTGTCTTATAAACTCATGAATAATTCTGTGTGATTATTTACAAGAACAGGGAGCTGGCTTCTTGATGACAATATCATGAGCAATACTGGGCTATAAAGGCCACAGGATGGGGGAAGACCACATGAGAAAAAAGATAACCATGTGATGTGCCACAGAGAGGAAAAGCAGGGTGAAAAATTACTTAATTGTTGACAGTTAAAAAATCAGTTACAGAGACTTCCCTGGTCGTCAAGTGGTAAAGAATCTGCATTCCAGTGCAGAGGACATGGGTTTGATCCCTAGTTTGAAAACTAAGATCCCACAAGCCACAGGCAACCAAGCCCATGAGCTGCAACCTAGAGAAGTCAATGTGCCACAATGAAGACCCAGTGCAGCCATTACAAAAAAAAAAAGGAAAAATATATATATAAATTAGTTACAAACAACATCAGCAGGACTGTGTCTGCTGGTAACTGCAATGTAGATGAGCATTTCCAGGGCCAAGAAAAAAGTAGATTTTGGTCAGGAACATTTTAAGAACGGGTATATGTTTGATTATAGAAAATATATGGGCCAATGTTACAGAATGAACAGATAAAGCAGGGAGGAAAATGAGTGATACAGAGATTCAGAGATACAAGGATTAGCCATAGGTTGGACTACAAGTAGAAGAACCACAATGCAGAATTAAGTCAGCACTATTAAGAATGGAGAAAAAAAAAAAAGGAGAAATAAGGTGTGGTCCTGGAAACAGCCATCAAAATTGAAGTCGAACAGAACAAATTCCTGGTATCACTTGAACTAGCATCATGCACTCCCACAGGGTGATACTGTACAGCAGCCCTTTGGGCCTACTTGGTTGAGTTGAAATTAATATCCAGCTTGTGGACAAATAAGAGCTCCCCACTCCACTTCCAAAATGAACAAGTGTATGGGACCTGGATGATGCAAATACAAGGGGAAAGACACCACAAAGGAGAAGCTGACCCATATTCATCACATCATAAACCAGAGGAAAACATTTAAATACTATTAAGAGAACTTTGGAAAGGTTCTTGCAAGAAGTGCATGGTCTACACCAGAAAATTAATTCCCAGCAAAGGCAGTTACAAGGAAATGTTTATGAGAAGAAAGAAGTAGAACCTGAGGAGCACAGATAACTTGCATCTGGATGTCACCCAGTAGGAAGAGGGAAAGTATGGTGGGATATATTAGGCTGAATGGAAGATTCCTGACCCTGGATCCTTCCAGGGGAGGCTGCAGGGTAGCAGATGTGGGGCCTCTTCAAGGAAAACAGATGGCAGTGCAAATACCTCAGCCCAACCAACCACAGCACCAACCTGGAGTACTGGGGGAAAAAAAAGCAGTAATCATGGTCCTGACATAAGAAGGACAAGCTTGCCTCTGGGGAAAAGGAAAGTGCAGAGACTAGCTCAGGTCATGAGGAAAGGTTTAAGGTTCTTACCCAGGGAGGTTATAAGTGCCAAGTTCTCCAGCATCACATCACGGTACAGGCATCTCTGAGGCTCATCAAGGAGACCCCATTCCTCCCAGGAAAAGGTCACAGCTACATCTTCAAAGTTCACACTGACCTGCCATGATGATGACAGATGAAACAACAAACAGTACACCTCTGAAGAGTTGCAGTCCATTTCCCCACACATCTACCCTTTGAATATCTATCGCCCAGCCCTTCCAATTCAGAGAAGCTATCACACCCTGGCACCTTGGTGTGGTTGTCTCCCCACAGGCTCACTGATCACTAGGTATAACCACCAGGAACAAGAGGCAGGTGGATGAACATATATCTAAACTATAGGCCTGGCATAGAGGGATCCACCCTCTGCTGACAAGCAATTTTTCCCTGGTATGGGCATTGCCCCGGACATGTTAGCACCATCAGACATGCTCCCTCTTCAAGCACACATCACTCTTTGGGTTGCACATCCTCAGTCTCTGTATCCCATAACCATACATGACCATGGCCACCAAAACCTCACTCTCCCACACCACAGACATCTCCTTACCCTTCCCACACCTTATCTGTATTTAAGTCACTTTCTCTTAACCCCAGCATAGGGCTATGATGGTGACCTAACACATGACACCTGAGACTGGACAAATGCAACTGACAGTAGCTTATTGATCACATAAACTCACCACTCACCACAAAGGCCCACAGGGAGTAGTTCTAAAAAAAAAAACAGCACAATCAAGGTCTGTGTATAGGAATCTTTGTGGGATGAAGGAGTTTGGATGCTCCAAGGAGGATGTGACTGCCTTATTTGAATAATTCTGAGGGCTAGTGCTACCCAGAAGTATCTGGTTTCCTTTGTAAAAATGGTTGTTAGGCTAAGAGACGTTATCCACAGGAACACTGTGAGGAGAGGAACTTGCACTCAGGTCATTTGAAGGCACCCAAGTTTCACCAAATGTCAAAGAAGCACATCACACTGAACTTGGGCCTTATACCACAACTTGGCAGGCAGTATCCACAATACAAATGGCAAAATCAAACAGAACCCAATATGACTACAGAACTCTCAACAATTCCCAAAGGCAGCATCAGAAATCATCTATAAGGGCCTTACTGCATGACTCTGATCCTTGTCTCAGATTTAAAACAACAGAACCATGTGTGGATCTCAGATACACATAGTCCCATGGTACTTTTGTGCAGTCCTTGATGTAAGTCAGCAATGACAACCTTTCTCTGTTCCCTTACCCTCATTCAAACTCCAGCCCCATTACTTGCCGACCCCAAGCCTAGTGATTCTTACAGAGAACCTTATTGCTCATGGCCATATAACTAGGTTGAATGAAACACGCCAGGCACCACCAAAGTTCTCACAAAACTTGGTGAGCTGATAAAGTGGTAAAGGAGTACCAGTTCTGGCCTGAGTGTCATATGGATGAATTATCCCTTGCTTCTACATCCACCTCATGTTAACTCTTCTCTTGGAAGCTTTGGCTGCCTGCCAGACTATCCTGTCTCATACAGCAAAACTTCCTGGGCATTTACTTACATTCATGAAGTAAATGACACCATCACACATGGAAGCAAGCAAGAAACCCAATCCTCTGCCCGCTTCTTCCATACCTCCTCCCTAAAAGATCTGCCACCACAACCTGAAGCTTGCCTCTTCCAAATGTTGAGACACAGGTCCTTCAGTTTGGTATACATTGTAGTTACATTTTAGATGTCTCTAACCTGAATCACTCTCAAGAATTCCAAACTTGTATGTCAGATGTTCATTTGATGCCTCCACTCATTGGTGTCTAAAATATCTGACTCTTAACATGGTTAAAACAAAGCTCCAGATAAACAATGAATATTACACCTACTACCAACCTGCTATCTCCACTGATGCAGCTTCCATCTCTACAGCTGCAAAGCCAGGGCTCATCTCTGGTACCTGTGTTTCATTCCCTCACCACCCACTTTACAAAATCTAGCTGCCTCCTCTAAAAACATGCAGCCAGGGACTTCCCTGGTGGTCCAGCCATTAACACTCTGTGCTTCCAGCACAGGAGGAACATGCAAGATCACCGATTGTGGAGCTAAGATCCCACATGCTGCATGGGATGGCAAAAAAATAAAAATAAAAACATGCAGCCAGAATACAGCCACATTTCCCAAGGCATGCCCCTGCTCCATTAACCCTCACCTGGACTATGGTAGTAACCTCCACAATGATGGTCCTTCTTCCTCTCTCAAGCCCACAGTTTGTTTTCCACTCTAAAGCCAAATGAAACCTTAATCACATCACCTCCATCCCATGACCCAAACTTCTAGTTTCCTCTAGAACACAAAAACTGACATCTCAGACAGTTGTTCCTCTCCTGACTCCAACCCACCTGCTATTTATTCCTACCTAAAAGAGAGGAGACCTGTGGGTCCTGAATATTCCTGAGCCCAGTTTTAACTCTTGGCATTTGCACATCTTGGGTTAGGTTGACCTTACACACGTTTACCATGACTGCCAGAAATGGGAACACCTCTCTATATAACCTCTAGCATGGACTTAGGACGGTAGGCTTGGAGTTTTTCAGGAACCTCGGACTCAAGGAGGAGATAAAGGACATTAAGCATCTCCTGTGTGAGTGTGTGCTAAGTCGCTTTAGTCGTGCCTGACTCTCTGAAACCCCATGGACTGTAGCCTAACAGGATCCTCTGTCCATGGGATTCTCCAGGGAAGGATACTGGAGTGGGTTGCCATGCCCTCCTCCAGGGGATCTTCCCAACCCAGGGATCAAACCCGCGTCTCCTGTATCTCCTACATTGCAGGTAGATTCTTTACGCTGAGCCACCAGGGAAGCCCATTAAGCATCTCAGGGCGACAACAACTCCAGGGAACATGGGAGTGAGAACGGGCGAGTGAGGCAACGGGACACCCCCTACCTCCCTGCTCAGGTTCCATAAGCACTTCTTTAACCC